TCCACCCTGAGCTTGCTTTGCTTTGCTTGACTGGTCTTGTGACCCCTTGTCCTCCCCCACTTTGCCTATGGGGGTGTGTCAGATTTATATGACTTAGCTGCTGTAGGCTATAGTGGGGTAGCACATATGGGGTACAGCTTTCTAGGGTTTGTACTTGTACCCAACTTTCCCTTAGTCTTTTCATTCCTCGTTCATTTTCACAATATGATCAATTATGACTATTGATGTATATTTAATTTAAAACAAAATCGGTTTTCCCTTATCCGGATTTACTGCTTCGCGTACAGCCAGTACTTTTGGAAATGCATGTTCGGCCAGTTTCCATGGCACCAAAGCAACCCCGCGTCGCCTTTGGTTTTCCTTTGCCCAACCTAAACCCAACCCCGTGTTCCCGATGTTCATGCCTAGCTATGTTGGGCCGCTATATTATCCCGCGTCTTTCATTGTATCGTCGGTCATATTGTCGCATATTCGTTAATCGTTATTCCACGCAACTTTACTGAACAACTCATAACACTTTGTATCAGAGCTACTTTCCTAGTTTACCCTGCTTTTTTAGGGTAGTTTAGCGGCACGGGTGTAACTAGTACGGTAGGCTGCAAAACGTTTGGCTACAAAGTTCATTAAATTAAACTTGCCCAACTCCGATAGCTTTTGCGCTTGCACTGTTGCCGGATAGTTACGGATACCCACTTGCCTACAAGACGTGCCCGGTGACACATGGATTAGGCAGCATTTAACGCGTTGATGCAACAAGTGGCAGAAATGCAAGCAGGCATGAAGGCGCTAACAACAGAAGTGGAGAGACTACGTGAAGAAAACACCGAACTACGCCAGGCGCAAGGTGAAGCGCGTCAGGAGTCGCCCGATAAAGAAGGCGAGGGCAACAGTCAAGCGGTGACCAACCCGTTGGAGGGGCTCACACGAGGCTTCAAAGAAGAAGATAGGCAGCGAACGGTGGCGACAACAGTTGCAGTAACGACGATCAAGATTAAAACCGCGAGCCCGCCCCCGTTCAACCCTACAGACAAGAACACTACAATTAAAGGGTGGTTCTTCGACGTAGAATTCTTCTTCAGTGCAGTGAATATCAACGATACCGCCACGCGTATTAATTACGCGGTATCTCTTCTGCGAGGCCCATCGCTTGAGTGGTGACGCCAAACCTTGGACACGGGGACCCCGACAGGTGTTATGCATGCGCACGACGGGACTTCAGACTCTGCTAACAGAAGGGCATCATCAATATTCGGTGTGACCACAATTCCAACGTGGAAGGAGTGGGTCGCAGCCTTACGAGAACGTTTCGAGCATGTATCCGCCTCAGAACACGCTCGCATGGAGCTGCATGCCTGGTCGCGGTTGGCTTCTGTTCAAGACTACACGGCGTCATTTATGGCAGTATGGCGGAATGGACGGTATGGCGGAATTGGATAAATATATCAGCGGCATCAAATACGAGATACAGTTTGAGGTGCACCGAAGCCGCCCGACTACCTTCATAGAAGGCGTACGATTGGCAGAGTCTACAGATGCGCTGATGCAGTGGGCGAGGTTGAGTTCCCGAGAGGGAAACCGATTTTGTGGACAGACCAAACGGGTCATGATTAACGGAGTTAAAGCAACCGACCGCCCTGTTACGAGGCTGTGCTATACAAGCGAGGAGCCAGGATACATGTATAAAGACTGCCTTGACAAAATGGGAAAGAGGAACGACGGGAAAGAGTCGGAATATGGGAAGATTCCGTAACAGACGGGCCCCTTACTGAGTGTGCTCTGTCGCCCGCACCATCCCCACCAACTAGTGGTTCCGATTCATGCAATTGATCGCACTCGGACGAATAACGGGGGTGGACATATGGATTACCTTATGCTGGTTGTTGGCACGGTTGTTCAGTAAAAACAAAAAACAAAAAACGTTTGTCGATTGTGGGGCTAGCCATAATATTTTCAACCTAGTGAAAAAAAAGAAATGTCAGTTACCTCTTGACAGGTGTCTGCCTGAGATCGACGCGCGCCTAGTGGATGGGACGCCTCTAACAATTGAGGAGGAAACACAGACGGTGCGGATTGGATGCGGCTACGATTTCGGCTTCAACATGAACTTTTTTCGCGACGACGTTTGACAGATGCGATATGCTCATGCGACGCGATTGGCTGCGACGGCACAACCCGATAATCGGCTGGACGATGGGACCGTGCAGCATCAGAAAGCATGAGGGGTTGATTACTCTGCCCGCGTGGACTCCGGACCACAAAGAGTCTACATGCGTCAAGGCCATCACTATTACCCACCACTTCAACAGGGGTGCGCAGCTGTAAGCCGTTCATCTGCGCGAGTTGGCAGCCGACACCAAGGGAAACGACATCGACAAGTCGTGTGCAGCTGTACCACCCGAGCTGAGGATACCGATATCTTCCATGACAATCTTCCACATGGCCTACCACCGGAACGACCTGAGGACCACAAAATCACCCTCGAGCCTGGCGCGCTACCGAGAGTTCGTACACATTGGCGGCTAATTTAGCCCGAACTTGCGAAGCTCCGAAGTCAAATTGACGCACTGTTGGAGAAGGGCTTCATCGGACCCAGTACGTCACCATTCGCAGCACTGATAATGTATCCGCCGAAAACGAATGGTAGCATTGGCATGTGCATTGACTATCGCGCACTCGACCGGGTTACAATTAAGTATTGTTATCCCATCCCACACACCGACGACTTCGTCGACCAACTTCGCGGTGCTTGCTACTTCTCCAAGATTGATCAACGTGGCGGTTACCACCAGAACAGGATCTTCGCTGGCGACTATCACAAGACCGTCTTCCGAAGCCGCTACGTCAGTTACGAGTTTAGAGTGATGCCTTCTGGCCACACGAACGTGCCATCAAGATTTAAACTCACCATAAATAGGGCATTCTATGAACTTTTCGACAAGTGCATCATCGTCTATTTGGAAGATATCCTGATTTTGAGCTGGACGCACGAACAACACCTTCGCGACCTGATTTTTCACATCCCATACCCTCCTTTTCGAGGTACCCTTTACGTTTTGTGGCTTGACGCGACGGACACCCGTAGATCTAGGGATTATCGATAAACAACCGGTTCCCGAGATTGAAATTTGCACTCTGTGTTTCGAGTGAAGCGTTTAGGAGGGGACTCTCCTCCAGAAGCTCTGAAAACGTCGTTAACTATCCTACGAAAAGGTTATACCAATGGTATGTACCCTAGGCAATACGATTATGGGGTGTTAAATTTACGAAAACTGGATGTACTCCCTCCAACCTCACCGAGTGCTGCGGTGTGTTGTTGAGGGGCATCATGCAATTCAATTCAAGGAGAGATTATTTCGTTGTTGGGCAAAAGGCCACAGCGAGTTGCTGCCCCCACTTTGAATTGATTGAATTCACGCTGCCGTATCGTATCAGGTCGTTCCGTTTTAGGGCGTGTTCTCCTGATTTCTCTGCAAATCCCAAGCTTTATTTAGAGCGCATTTCGGACCTCGTAACAAGTCACTTCCGAACAGAGCGCATTTTGTGAGTTTAACGCACATTCATTGGCCAGTTAGGGCTCACCCACAGTCGTGAAGCCTCGCAACCCTGTCGCTTGTTACGAAGTTGCTTGTTCTTAACCACCCGAAAACTTCTCTTTATTTTAGCCTGGCTAGATCCGGGTCTTGTCCAATTACAACCCGGCACCTGTCCCAGTTGTCCTTGTGGGTTTCAGTTGCATCCTGGCCGAATCTGGGTTTGACGAACCACCTAAACGAGAATTGAGCCGAAATCTTCCAGATTGTCGATGTACAGGTGGCGGGTAGTAGGATGAGCCCTGAAATGCAGAAGTGCCGCGAAACGAAAAGAGGGACCTTGTCCGTATGCTCTACGACAGAACCTGAGTCAATATAGCAGATAACTTTAGTCAGATGAGAGAGGGTACTGCGCGGTGCAGTGAGCTTCGAGCGTAGCCCGCTGAGCCCGTCGTGGCTGTGTGCATTTCGCCAGCGCAGCCTTCGCAACCAGGGTTGCTGCATTGGCGAACGTCGCAACGGGCAAACTCTGGTTCGACGAACGTGGTTACCGGCTCCAAATCTGGCCGAACCTGCAACATATGTAGCTCTGGAAATCCCCGTGTAATCGACACCGTCCATCGTTTCGATCTACGGTACAAAACGACCTCGACTTCATACTAAACCGGAACAGCCCAGATAACGTCCTGTCATTACTCCTCCGGAGTTTCAATGCCAAATTCCATGTTTTGAAACTGACAATGGACGTTTCAATGTCATTACTTCATTCTCGACCCCGCTCTCACCATTCCCAAGAGCCGGGCCGCGTCACTCAAATGAACGGTCCCGATGCCTCCGAACAACAGGAGCGCGTGTATCGTGCGGTTTCGCCTATTCCTCCTCGGCCTGTTAAGCCACGTCATCGACGAAGCCAGTCCGACGGTTTCCAGTTCAACCCGACGAATCTGACTCAAGCTCCAGTATCTGGCTCTCAGCTTCAGGCCGTAACTTAAAGCCATCAAGTCTGGCGCGAGTTCGCGTGTCGGACTTAAAAATGAAGAGACTATTCCAGAAAATGAAGTTCATGAAGTTGCGCAGGCTCCTCCTGGTCACCGCCGACGGCATTCGGGAACCATTTCGTCTCCTAATTATTCGCAGGACCCGCAACGTTCTCCGGACGGAATGAGACCGGCTCGAGAACAAGCTCCCGACGGATACCGCCATAACGCGTACAAATCGCAGCCTCGTTCAAGACGACAATTTTCGCCTCCGAAATCGCCGCCAGATTCTGAATTTAGTTATGGTGGTGCTGGGCAGGAGGTTGGACGCTCCCAGGCAACCAATCAACAACGGCCGCTAAATTCACCTTATCATGGATCGTCTGATTTAAGCAGTGACGGCTACAGCAACCTCAGCAGCGGCAGTCCTACCAGGAGCGTAAACAGCGGCGTCAGTCGCGCCAATGGAGGCGGAAACGGATCGTACGGAACCATGGGCGGCGGCGGTAACATCGGCTACAGTGGTGGTAACCACGACAGCAGCTCGGCTGGTTACAGCAGTGGTTACAGCAATGTTACGGGTTACGGCAATGTTACGGGTTACACCAATGTGACGGGTAACAGCTTCGGCAACAGTGCTGTCTATGGCCAACACGGTAGTAGCAGCTTCGGCGGTATTAGTAGCAGCGCGGCTGGCGGGTATGCTACTTCACAAATGAGGCACCCGGTCGAGGGTAGAAGCGGGGCTGGCGATGCTAGCAGCTTCGGCGGTGCTAGCAGCTTCGGCGGCGCTAGCAGCGCGGCTGGCGTTGTTAGCAGCTTCGGCGGTGCGAGCAGCGGGGCTGGCGGGTATGCTTCTTCACAAACGAGGCACCCGGCCGAGGTTAGCAGCGGGGCTGGCGGTGCTAGCAGCTTCGGCGGTGCTAGCAGCTTCGGCGGTGCTAGCAGCTTCGGTGGTGCGAGCAGTGCGGCTGGCGGGTATGCTTCTTCACAAACGAGGCACCCGGCCGAGGTTAGCAGGCCTGTCGAGGTTAGCAGGCCTCCTAAGCCCATGGCTGCTCGTCACCGCCGGATCCGCTCCGAGGATTTCTCTTTCGCCGCGTATTCTCCTGCCGACGTGACTGATGGGTTCCATGGCTTCCCTGGAACGAACGCTGCCGCGTATCGCGGAGCGCCGGAGATCGGCTTAAAAGGTAAGCAGCCCCCGCCCGCGCAGCCCCTGCGTCGACCGGGGGGAGGGGGAGGGGGAGCGGGAGGGGGGGGCAGAGAGGGGGCTGGAGGGCGGAAGTTGGTGCGATGGAGACTGGTGAGGGGAGCGGGGGAGAGAGAGGGGGCGGGGAGTTCGATGGGGAGGCGGAAGATGTGCGGGTGCGCAGCAGCGGAGGGGGAGCAGGCGGGGGAGCGGAAGGGGAAGCGGGAGGGGGAGCGGAAGGGAGAGAGGGAGGGGGAGCGGGCCTTTGGGATAGACGACAGGCCCGAGGCAACAGTGATAAGGAGCAGAACGTGCAGCAGCAATCCCAGCAGCAGCAGCAGCAGCAGCAGCAGCAGCAGCAGCAGCATTCGCAGTCGCAGTCGCAGTCCGTTGACCCGAGGCGCACTGTTCTGAACCATTGTGACGAGTTGACTTTTGAGTCGACTCAAAAGTCACCTTTGGTGCACCCATTGCAGAAGCCGCTGCTGCTGCCACCCCTGGGAATACCCACTGCCAATCAAAACTCCCGCTCTCAAGAAGGCAGCCCCGTTGACCCGAGGCGCTCCGTCCTGCTACCCCTAGGGATACCCATACCCACTGCCAATCAAAACTCTCCCTCTCAAGACGGCAGCCCCATTGACCCGAGGCGCACCGTCTTGAACCATTGCTACGAGCTGACTTTTGAGTCGACTCAAAAGTCACCTTTGGTGCACCCTTTGCAGAAACCGCTGCCGCTGCCACCCCTGGGAATACCCACTGCCAACCAAAACTCCCGCTCTCAAGACGGCAGCCCCGTTGACCCGAGGCCTTTTGAGGCGCCTCAAAAGCCGCTGCCGCTGCCACCCCTCGGAATACCCACTGCCGATCAAAACTCTCGCTCTCAAGACAGCAGCCCCGTTGGCCGGAGGCGCACTGTCCTGAACCATTGCTACGAGTTGACTTTTGAGTCGACTCAAAAGTCACCTTTGGTGCACCCTTTGCAGAAACCACTGCCGCTGCCACCCTTGGGAATACCCACTGCCAACCAAAACTCCCGCTCTCAAGACGGCAGCCCCGTTGACCCGAGGCCTTTTGAGGCGCCTCAAAAGCCGCTGCCGCTGCCACCCCTCGGAATACCCACTGCCGATCAAAACTCTCGCTCTCAAGACAGCAGCCCCGTTGGCCCGAGGCGCACTGTCCTGAACCATTGCTACGAGTTGACTTTTGAGTCGACTCAAAAGTCACCTTTGGTGCACCCTTTGCAGAAACCGCTGCCGCTGCCACCCCTGGGAATACCCACTGCCAACCAAAACTCCCGCTCTCAAGACGGCAGCCCCGTTGACCCGAGGCCTTTTGAGGCGCCTCAAAAGCCGCTGCCGCTGCCACCCCTCGGAATACCCACTGCCGATCAAAACTCTCGCTCTCAAGACAGCAGCCCCGTTGGCCCGAGGCGCACTGTCCTGAACCATTGCTACGAGTTGACTTTTGAGTCGACTCAAAAGTCACCTTTGGTGCACCCTTTGCAGAAACCACTGCCGCTGCCACCCTTGGGAATACCCACTGCCAACCAAAACTCTCGCTCTCAAGACAACAGCCCTGTAGACCCGAGGCGCTCCGTCCTGACGCCCCCGAAGAGCCCTGTGAAGGCCTTCGGGGGCGCCGTTTTGAGCTTTTTCCGAGGCGCAGCAGGGGGAGGCGGGGCAGGGGCAGGGGCGGCGGCAGCGGCAGGCGGAGGGGGAGGGGGAGGGGGAGGGGCAAGTGGCGCAATGGGAGGCAGGGCGGGGGGGAAGCCTATCAAGAAAAAGATGGGCCATAGGAGGTCCGCTAGCTGTGAAGCCTGGTCCAATCCCGAGGCGGGCTTTAATCCCCATTTGAGCGGCTCTAATTCCCCTGCAAGGGCCTCTGGTCCGCAAACTGGCGGCTCTAATATTCCAGGAGGGGGAGGAGGAGGAGGGGGAGCAGGGGGAGGAGTGCTAGGAAGGCTCTCGGAGAAGGAAGAAAGGGAGGCGTGTCCCTCAGGAGGGGGAGGGAGATCGGAGGTTGCCCAGAGCCCACACAGGCCCAAAATCGTTCTGCCTTCTACTAGCCCCTATGATAGCCCCTATGCTAGCCCCTTCGCCAGCCCACGCATGGCAACATCCCCGTTAGTAGGCTCCCCGTTAGTAGGCTCCCCGTTAGTAGGCTCCCCTATTCTGCCTCAAGTGGGTTCCCGAGCCGGATTTATGACCCCCGGAGCTATGACGCCTGGTGGGGGAAGCCTGGTGGGTAGCCCCGGTTCCGTAGCTGTGCAGCAGGATCGGGACCAAGCCAAGCTGGCCGAGATCCAGAGCATGTTCGCCAATTGGAACCACGGAACGCCGGTCCCGTCCCCCAGGGCTGGAGCCTCGGCTCGGGCCGAGGCTGGCTTCCCGCTTCGGACGCCGAAGCCTAGCGACTACTACCGAATCGACGGGGGGGAAATGGAGGGGGGAGAGGGGATGGGAGAGGAGGAAGCATCTGCGGAGGAGCTAGGGCCGACTCGTGCGAATGTGTTGGGGAAAGCGTATGAGGATATCGGGAGGAAATACAGGATTGCTGAGAAGGAGCTAGGGCGGGGTAACTTTGGAGTGATTCATGTGGCGGAGAGCCTTCAGACTGGGGAGCAGTTTGCATGCAAAAGCATCACCAAGGCTAAATTCGAGGTGAGGGGCTTCTGTGGCATGTTGTGACTTTGAGTTGACTCAGCAGTCCACTTTGGAGTGATTCACGTAGCGGAGTGCCTTCAAACTGGGGAGCAGTTTGCATGCAAGAGCATCACCAAGGGCAAATTTGAGGTGAGGAACGGCTGTGGTATGTTGTGACTTTGAGTCGACTCAAAAGTCAATGTTTTCCTCTTTCTCTAACCCCTCCGCACCCTCACCTTCTTCCCCCTTCCCTCTTCGCTTCGCTTCGCCCCTCTTCAACCCCCATCATTCAGTGCTGGGACGATGTGGAGGGCGTGAAGGGGGAGGTGAGCGTGCGGGGGACACTGAAAGGCAACTCACACTCCTCTTCACTCATTTTCCCGCTCTGCTCCCTCTACCCCCTCTCCCCTTCCGTCCCCCAGTGCTGGGACGACGTGGAGGACGTGAGGAGGGAGGTGAGCGTGCTGGAGACGCTTAGTTGCCTTGTGCACCTCACGCACACATAACATTCCCTCCTCTCTTGCCCCCCTTCCTCCAACCCTCTTGTCCTGCCCCCAGTGTTGGGATGATGTGGAGGATGTGAGGAGGGAGGTGAGCGTGCTGGAGACGCTGAAAGGCAATCCCTTTGTGGTGTCGATCGTCGAGACGATCGAAGACGAGAAGGTGAGCGCAAGCGAGTGGTAATAGTCGGCTCTGGTGCCTGCCATTCATTGAGTCGTGTTCCGAAGATGCGGATGTGAAGCGCTGAGAGAGAGACCATCCGTTTGTGGTGTTGATTGTTGAGACGATCCAAGACGAGAAGGTGAGTGGTAATAGTCGGCTCTGGTTCCTGCCATTCATTGAGTCGTGTTCCGAAGATGCGGATGTGAGGCGCTGAGAGACCATCCGTTTGTGGTGTTGATTGTTGAGACGATCCAAGACGAGAAGGTGAGTGGTAATAGTCGGCTCTGGTGCCATTCATTGAGTCGTGTTCCGAAGATGCGGATGTGAGGCGCTGAGAGACCATCCGTTTGTGGTGTTGATTGTTGAGACGATCCAAGACGAGAAGGTGAGTGGTAATAGTCGGCTCTGGTGCCATTCATTGAGTCGTGTTGGAAAGATGGCACCAGAGCCATTCCGAGTTGTGTTAGATGATGGGGGACGAGAAGGTGAGCGCGAGTGGTAATAGCCGGCTCTGGTGCATGACATTCATCGAGTCGTGTTACGAAGATGCGGATGTTAGTTTTTTGTTTTTTGTCGACTCAAAAATAAACTCATCTTAGTTGGCTCTGGTGCCATTCATTGAGTTGTGTTCAAAAGATGCGGATGTGAGGCGCTGAGAGACCATCCGATTGTGGTCTCGATTGTTGAGACGATGGGAGACGAGAAGGTGAGTGGTAATAGTTGGCTCTGGTGCCATTCATTGAGTCGTGTTACGAAGATGCGGATGTTAGTTTTGTTTTTTTTTTCGACTCAAAAATAAACTCATCTTAGTTGGCTCTGGTGCCATTCGTTGAGTCGTGTTTGAAAGATGCGGATGTGAGGCGCTGAGAGACCATCCGATTGTGGTGTCGATTGTTGAGTTGAGACGATGGGAGACGAGAAGGTGAGTGGTAATAGTTGAATCTTGGGCCATTCGTTGAGTTGTGTTTGAACGATGCGGATGTGAGGCGCTGAGAGACCATCCGATTGTGGTGTCGACGAAAACGTGAGTGTGTGGGAAGGGGAATTGTCTCGGACTTGCCTCGCACCTAGAGAGACTCTGAAAGGCAATGCTCGTGTGGTGTAGATGGTTGAGACGATGGAAGATGAGGAGGTGAGACTTCTCACCCTCCCACCCATCCAACCACCCATCCTCTCCCATCCCCTCCACCCCCCCAACAGGAGGTGCACATAGTGACGAAGCTGTGCAGAGGGGGAGAGCTGTTGATCGCACCAACCCACCCACCTCCCTTCCTCGCCTCACCTCCAACCCCCCACCAGGAGGTGCACATAGTGATGGAGCTGTGTGCGGGAGGAGAGCTCTTCGATCGCATTCTCGACCGCAAGTACTACGGGGAGAGGCAGGCCGCGCGGGTCATTCGCTCCGTGGTGGAGGTTCTGGCCTTCTGCCATGCCCACCTAAGGGATCGTGCTCCGTGTTTTCGAAGCGCCTCAAACGCAGGCGGCACGGTCATTCGCTCCGTGGTGGAGGTTCTGGGCTTCTGCCACGCCCGCCTGAGGGATCGTGCACCGGGACTTAAAGCCCGAAAATATTTGCTCCGTGGTGGAGGTTCTGGCCTTCTGCCACGCCCGCCTGGGGGATCGTGCACCGTGTTTTTCAGGCGCCTCAGTGACAGGTGGCATGAGTCATTCGCTCCTTCCCTCCCACCCCTGCACCCCCCTCCCCGCCCCACACACACACACCAGGAGGTGCACATAGTGATGGAGCTGTGCAACGGGGGAGAGCTATTCGATCGCATTCTCGAGCGCAAGTATTACGGGGAGAGGCAGGCGGCGCAGGTGATTCGCTCCGTGGTGGAGGTTCTGGCCTTCTGCCACGCGCGGGGGAGTGTTTGTGCACCGAGAAACTCATTCTCCCACCCACCCATCCATCCTTCCCTCTCCGCCTCCTGTTTTCCCCCATTTTCTCTTCCCTTCTTTTCCGCCTTCTCCTCCCCACCCCCGCATCCTGCCAACCCACAGGAGGTGCACATAGTGATGGAGCTGTGCAACGGGGGAGAGCTATTCGATCGCATTCTCGAGCGCAAGTACTACGGGGAGAGGCAGGCGGCACGGGTGATTCGCTCCGTGGTGGAGGTTCTCGGCTTCTGCCACGCGCGGGGGATTGTGCACCGTGACTTAAAGCCCGAGAACATTCTGCTCGTGTCGAAACGGAGCGACACGCGTGTCAAAGTGATTGATTTCGGCATGGCTTGCATCTTGAAACCGGGTACGTTTGAAGATTCCCTTGATTAAAGTGGGTACTGTGGGTATTACCTACAGTCCTGACAGCTTTCTGTGGGTCTGGTTAAAAGGAGTGGCATGCGGGTTGAAGTAACTGCTTTGGTATGAGCTCTCGTGCCTAACTGGATATGATTCACATCTATTCACCCACCCACCCATCGCCGCTTTCCCCCTTCCTCCTTTCATCCTCTCTCCCATCCTTCCTGCCTGCCTGCCTCCTTTACTCCCCCAGGAGAGCGCTGCAAGCTGCGTGCGGGAACGCCCAACTACATTGCCCACCTTCCTTATCTTCCCCCACCCCCCACCCCATCCATCCTCCTCCCCCAGGCGAGCGTTGCAAGCTGAGGGCAGGCACGCCAAACTACATTGCTCCCGAGGTGATAGCTAAAAACTACGGAGCGGAGGCAGACGTGTGGAGCGCAGGGGTGATCCTGTACGTGCTGCTGTGCGGCCTGCCGCCCTTCTGGGCCTCCTTCCCTTCCCTTCCCTTCCCTTCCCTTCCCTTCCCTTCCCTTCCCTTCCCTTCCCTTCCCTTCCCTTCCCAACCCTATTTCCTCAACGCCTCTTCCCTCGTCCCCTTCTCCCTTTTCGCCCTCTCCCTCCTCCACTCCCCACCCCCAGGAGAACGCTGCAAGCTGAGGGCAGGAACACCAAACTACATCGCTCCAGAAGTGATAGCGAAGAACTACGGCGCAGAGGCGGACGTGTGGAGCGCGGGGGTGATCCTGTACGTGCTGCTGTGCGGCCTGCCGCCCTTCTGGGCCTCCTTCCCTTCCCTCCCTAATCCTGTTTCCTCAACGCCTCTTCCCTCGTCCCCTTCTCCCTTTTCGCCCTCTCCCTCCTCCACTCCCCACCCCCAGGAGAACGCTGCAAGCTGAGGGCAGGAACACCAAACTACATTGCTCCAGAAGTGATAGCGAAGAACTACGGAGCGGAGGCGGACGTGTGGAGCGCGGGGGTGATCCTGTACGTGCTGCTGTGCGGCCTGCCGCCCTTCTGGGGGGACACCACTGAGGACGTCTTCAAGAGCATCCTGTGGCAGGAGCTCGACTTTGACACCCAGCCCTGGCCCGTGGTTAGCACCGCTGCCAAGGACTTGGTCAGACGGATGCTGTGCCGGAAGTATGAGAGAAGGATCACAGTGGCCGAGATTCTGAGTGAGTCAGTGTTGGGGATTGGGGTGGGAATGTGAGCAGGTGGACTATACTCTTCCGTGGGGGAAATCTGGGGCTTAATCGGCCTGGGAACCAAACCAAACCAAACCAAACCAGACCGAACCGAACTGAACCGAACTGGACCGCACAGAACCAAGCCCTGGACCTCGTGCGCCGCATGCTCACAAGAGATTCTCAGTGAGTCAGTGTTGGGGGTGGGTGGGTTGAGTTGGGTTGAGTGGGGTGGGGGTGTGTGCGGGGGGGAGCTGTATCGTTGTGCCGCACGTTTGACCGACGCATCACAGTGCCTGTGACAGTGCCTGGGATTCTCAGTAAGTGTTACTGGGGGTGTTGGTGGTGGGTGGGTGGGCTGTGCTTTCCTACCAAGGACCTCGTGCGCTGCATGCAGTTTTGCAAGCTGTGCCGCTAGTACACTGCTCAAACGTCACTCTTTTTGTCTTTGCGTGCATGCATCAGCGATTCTCGTTTTCTTCAACGTGTCAAAGCTAGTACACTGCTCAAACGGCAGTCGTTTTGCCTTCGCGTGGCTGCATCCTGAATCCTGTTCCATCCCTCTCGTTGTCCCTCTCTTGTTACCGTGTTACCTCTCTCGTAATCTCTCTACTCCCCTCTTTGTTTCCTCTTCATTTTCTCTCTCATTCCCTCTTCGTTCCCTCCCCGATCCCTTCTCCCACTCCCATTCCCAACAGAACACCCATGGATCAAGGCGTTAACTTAACGGGCCGTTGTAATGTTATGGGGAAGACAGGGAGCTTTTAGACGTTTCAAAACACATGGAGGAAACGATCAGGGTGCCTTCAGGAGAGGAACTCATGTGCAACTCATGAGCAACTCAAGAGGAAACGGTTCAGAGCAATCAATCACTTACACCTCCAATTGTGCTAGTGTGCTTGCAGCTGCTGTTAGTGTGCTTGCAACTGCTGCTAGTGTGCTCGCAACTGCTGTTAGTGTGCTTGCAACTGCTGCTAGTGTGCTTGCAACTGCTGCTAGTGTGCTTGCAACTGCTGCTAGTGTGCCCGCATCTGCTAGTGTGCTTGTTTGCTTACCGTATCATCTGCTAAAACATCAGCTACCATGCCTCCCCAAACTCTGGTTTCAGTGCAATTTGCAAATGCATCTATGTGTTTCACTTCCCACACTAGTACCATATGAAATTCCCAAAGCAACAACAAATGCACACTTTGATCGCATCGCATCGCATACTGCCATAATACCGAATTGTGCAAGGCTGCTTCGTTGTGCATGCAGAATGCAGCTGTACGAGCACAACTGCCCTCGGTAGCAAACGCTGAACCACCATACGGTAAAGCTAAGCTAAGTTAACATAACACGGTAAGCTAAGCTAGCCAACACATCTTGCTGCCAGCCATGAGCTTTGATGCTCTGTCGTTATACTGCTCACACTTACAAATACCGCTTACGGTACCGTAGTCCAGAAACCCCACAGGATATGGCCGTTTGGGATACATGGCAATTTTTTGGATTGGTTAGCGTTGTGCACAGTGAGTTAGAGTTACATTGCTGTAGCCAGACCTGCATCACAGGCTCGCCAATGAGGTTCGGGCATGGCTTCGTGCCTTGAAAGCAGCAAAATGTGCTCCCAGGTTTGGTGATTCAGAGTTCCATCTAGGGGGCAAATGCACAGCAGGCTGACTGCTATAGCATGTCAGCGCACTTGCTTCAGTGGGAGGGGCAGCCCAACCATTTCCGTTGCTGCTTGTTAGGTTCGGAAGGAGAGGCTGGGCGCCTGGAATATCGCTAGATTTTGTGGTACTCTTGGTTTGTACGGGGAGTGTGGGGATTTGGGTGTGATATCTTTGGCTGTTCCATCCCTGACTGTACCAGCTCTGGTTGTAGCAGCTTTGGCTGTGGCTGCTGTGATTGCACCCGCTCTGGTTGTAGCCAGGAGATTTGCTCATAATGTGTAATGAGGGAGTCAGGCTGGGAGCTGGGCGGCGATCATAGGGCGGCAGAAACTCGGCAAGGCCGCCCAGCCAGATTGGAATGCTCATTGCGTTTGACTCTCCTGCTGATTTGGTTCGGCAGGTGGATTTGGATGGAGGGTTGAAGATTGGAGGGTCGGAGAGTGGAGGGTCGGAGAGTGGAGGTTTGGAGAGTGGAGGGTCGGGGAGTGGAGGGTCGGGGAGTGGAGGGTCGGGGAGTGGAGGGTCGGAGGGCAAAATGCCGGAGAGAAAAAGGTCGGAGGATGCATATTCGTCGGCAGCAGCATTGGAGGGGAGAGGCGCGGCGGAGGTTGTCATAGTGGCGAAGGAGTGTGACTGTAGCGCACGGAGCAGCGCCCAGGAGAGGTGTGCAGCGGGTGCGATGCAGGCGGATGCGGCGCGGCAGAGAGAGGCTGCTGCGGGGGAGAGACTCACAGTCCTCATTATGCCAGTAGGCGATTCCATGGCTGGGTTGGTGCTTAGAAATGTTTGCTCACGGTCCCTCAAACGTGCTGCGGTATATAGAGATGTGTGCCGTTTAGGTAATTTGAGAAGTGTTATGAGTGGAATGACAGGAGTGGGTAGTGAGCACCCCACGGGACGGGACTCCCACCGATAATGAAACTGCGACAGTCGTGCAATGCTTGATCGTCAGAATCGCACGGCAAATAACTGTGGTGGAGAATGACGCTGCAATGCTATATAGACGCGATCAGTTGCCGAATAGTAAGGACCTGCATGAACGTCAGTATCAGCGTCGGAATATGCTCGGGGTATTTGATGAAGGAAGGGAGCTTTTATACCTACAGATCTTCGTCGCAACGACAGCACGCGCAGTCCTGTCACGCCATCATCCCAAAAGTTTGTTGTGCGTCACGGTGGGGTGGTCGTATTCAGTTTAATCTGCGAGCATTGAGCATTTCTTACCAGACGAGTAAAGCCTGAAAGTGAAATGGCATGCACTGCGTTTGCGAGTTTTAGTCGACACGGCTTGTGCTTGCAACGTACAGCTGATGCCCATTAGAAGAACGCCAACTTCACCTTATCAAAGGGCCGGGATTGAGCACATGCATTTCGCCTACCTCGCCTACGTCGCCACGGGAAAAAAATGGGACAGTAAGGGGCAAGTGGACAGGGTAGCGAAAAACCATGTAACAATTTGAAAATATCTGGCGAAGGGACGGCTGACAGTGTGATAATCAGTTCGATCTACGGCTAAGATCTACTGATTGACACTGTACATGAAGGGCCGTTGCCCGTGCTCAAATGCACGTTTGAAAATGGGCCGGGCAAATTCAATGGGATTAGGTGAGCATCAGCTGTATGCTTGTATCGATCCCTTCAGTCAACAGGAAAAGTGCGAGGCGCGTGCACGTAACAGAATTTTACTCGACAATCACGGTGCTGTCACGTGACTTGCATGACCCGTCGACACAGGCGAATAGCTACCAGTTACTATCATTGTGAAAGCGATGCTCTTGGGTGGGACTAGCGAGGCACATGATTCGTGAAACGACTGCTGCGGGTGGCTTGGCTAGTCCCACCAAAAGCATCGCTTGATGTTGTGAAGGCGAAACCAGCAAGATATGACGATAGAGACAGGCAGAGCAGGTCTCAAAGCACGTGCGATTGCCGTTTAGTATGGTTCTTGCCGTTCCAAAGCGGTTTAAGACTAATCGAGAGCGATGTTGAGCGAAAATCAATACCTAGAACAACCTCGTGTGCTGAGGGTAAATGTTGTCGAGGGTGGGGATGTTGACATAAATAGCAAAATAATGTATGAATCATACTATGTGTAATATCACACTCTACAATGTATGAAGTTACAGCAAGTTATATGCTGGATATTGGTATCCTAGGTGTCAAAACTTGCAACTAGCGTTGACATGCACCAACTATACATTGGCTTAGGAGAAAACATGCACTTCCACCTCCCTGTTGAACCTAACTCGTCGGTCCAACGACCTTGTGCGAGTTATTTCACCATCATCATCCTTCAGCGCAAGTATCGACTTGGGAGCGCCACATGCAACTGCTGCTGCCGCCGATTCCGTAGCCCAGCCGGCTCCGTTTGGCAAAATACTGTTGTCCGATCGAGTTGATAGGAGGTTTCGGTTCATCACACGCTGGAGGTCTGGAGAGCATACAGAAGAACACTCTAAAGGGGACAGGAAAATCCCTTTTCCCTTGGAAAATCTTCGTGGCGATGCTGCTGAAGCAGCTTCCCCTGCTGAAACTGCTGCGGCAGCTGCTGCTCCTGACATTGGAGCTGAAACGGATCTAAAGTCATTTAAACCCATCTGTAAAAACTGTTGAATCATCCGCTGCTGCTGCTGCTGCTGCTGCAGTTGCTGCTGCTGGTGCGGCAGTTGCTGCTGCTGCTGCTGCTGCAGTTGCTGCTGCTGGTGCGGCAGTTGCTGCTGCTGCTGCTGCTGCTGCTGCACCATGTGCCGAACCGAACCTACAGATGCTGTAGCAAAGGAAGATCCAGCCAAGTGTTGCTCTTTCATTGAACTAAGGCCAGAGGCAGTGTGCAAGGGGGAAGGGCGCGGGGCCACCACACGGGGGGAAAGGGGGGACGGCCCGCGTGGGGACAGGGGGGAGAATCCTCTGGGGGAAAGCGGGGAAGGGCCTCTAGGGGAGAGTGGGGAAGGGCGACGAGGGGAGAGGGGGGAAGCGCGAGGAGAGAGGGGGGAAGGGCCCCAGTGGGAGACTGGCGGAGGCATGCAGGGGGAGAGGGGGGAAGGATGGCGGTTGGACAGGGGGGAGGGGCCACAGGGGGAAGACACGCGGGGGGATAAGGGCGAGGGGCCTCTGGGGAAAAGCGGTGAGGGGCGGAACGTGGGAGACGGAGGAGAGGCAAATAGGTTCTGATCGGTTGGAATGGTAATGACAGTGCGTGGCTTGGAGATGATGCGACCGCTGCTGCCACTGCCACTGCCCGCCATTCCCGCTGCTGCCTCCGCCGCGTACCCTGCGCCGCCGCCATTACCGCTGCTGTTGCAGACGCTCTGTCTCTGGATTACCTCCTTCAAACCTGCACCCGCACTGCAAGGCGCGGCGATAATGAGCGA